GCTCCTATTTAGAGCAATCACCAGGTTTTCAGTTTTTCTTTTGTGAGAAAAAACATATTTCAAACGTAAATGTCTAAATATTCAGAATTAATATTTATACGGAATCATTAGGATCTTACATTAGGTTTACGAATACAAAAATTGGTGTTTCAGGCCTAAATAAATATGCAACTGACTAGGTTTAACGAATATAAAAAAATAAATATGTTTTATAATAATTGCAACATTTGTCGTAGAGTCTCGCCTCTGAAAGTCACAGATGACAGATCGTTGGACTAATGACTAATGTTGGAGTAATGACTTCTGATCAGAAGATACTCTCGTGTGTTGCTTAAAATACCTAAAAGTATAATGTATATTATCAAATTCGTACACTATAACTACGTCAAAGTAAGAACTATTTTACTACAACGCTTGTTATTTGAAAGACATGCGTAGGATTCATAAAGGGAAAATCGAAAAATCAATAAATTAAAACGATAAAATGTTTGTATAATTTTTTAAGCAGGAGCAGAATATAATGTGAATATAGGCTAGGCTTTATGGGAATGAGGATGATGATTCCTTGAAGAGATTCAAAAACCTCAACCCTGTTTGATGGGACTCGGAGAAAAACAGTCAAAATCAAGTTCTCAGTAAGATCAAAATTTTGATTTAGAAATTTATATCTTCACGAAAAAATTATAGGACAAAATTATATATGTTACGTATAACTTCATACAAACATAGTTTAAAAATTAGCTCGTTTTACAAAAAAACTACAAGGGTGATTATTATTTTATTGTTGTTTGAATACATTATAGAGCATAAACACTAAAAATAAACTATCTAATGATTCGTTAAACGTGTTACAGAAAAGATATAATTTACGCTTTATTAGAGAAAATAGATATTTTACTCTATACGTTTCTTTTAATTCACTTTTACATATTATCTTTTGCAAAAGTACATTTCCAAATAACCACTCAAAACTACTTCGAGCCTATTGTCAATAAATTCGCTAAACACAAACAAGCAGTTGTTTGGTAATTAATTCATTCATATCATCTAGGCCTATAAGTATTGTTTTAGTGTACATTAAACTATCGATATGTCGAACTGTTAACAAGAATGCAACAATAAGTGACGCGTCAACTGATTAAATCCTTCGATACATAGTTTCGATGTATGCCATGGCTTACAATCGAAATTTGCATCTGAGTTTATAACAGATGAATTTTACTCCCTAGGTAGAGCTACTACCCGCAATGCATGTGTTAAAAACGACTGGTTTTTTCTGGAGTGTTACGAAAAGCTTATTTATTTCAAGAAAACAGAAGAAACAATCTTTTCAGCGACCTCTTGGCTTCAATCAACAGTATTTAATTACAGCTTAAAGGCTGTCGATGTTAAAACCACAACGCTCCCCCTCACACTGTTATTAAACTTTTTTTACTACTCCAAAAAAATAAACTTTAAAATATTTTCTAAATAATAATATTTTATATTTTAATCAATAATAATGTTTACACAGGTTCATTCAGAAATAACTAATTTAAAGCAGTGATCACATTAAAATCGTCGAGGAAATTTGCATGTAATGATGTTAAGTTTTATTTAATATAACTGCAAATGTATTTAGTGAATTTTTTAATATTATATCAAAAATGTGTGAGCACTTATTTAAGATTATTATTTATTTTTTTATTGCTGTATATTAAAAATCGTATTATTAAATATTATAACACTCCTATAGTACCTATTTATATTTTAAATGTAATAAAACAAATGTGTTTCCATTACTGTTGTCTCGTCTCTAAATCTAATAGTTTCCGATATAACAATGGTGACACAGTTAATTTATTCACCCTGTGTACGTAATAGGAACCTAAAGTTTTCACTATAAATTGGTGTAAAATACTTGCATTTATGCGATCTTGTGTTGTAGCTGAGTTGCTACCGGTTTCAACTCATATTGGAGTCATCTTCAGGCAGTTATAAGATGTCTTCTCGCTTCATTAGAAGGTCGTCAAATGGATAATAAATAAACAAAACACAAACACGTGACGGGCATAAAAAAGGAACATTTAAAGCTGTAAAAAATGTGTTTGTGTTTTGTTTATTTATTATCCATTTGACGACCTTCGAATGAAGCGAGAAGACATCTTATAACTGCCTGAAGATGACTCCAATATGAGTTGAAACCGGTAGCAACTCAGCTACAACACAAGATCGCATAAATGCAGGTATTTTACACCAATTTATAGTGTTTAAATGCGATCAGGAGGCTAAAATTCAATATGATAAAGTTTTCAGTTAGTTATTAGTTTGAAATCTTTTTATCGGTGAGTTAGTTGTATAACTTTATAAATTCCTCAAATACAAATTGAATGCCTACATAGATATATATTCAACAAGTGCCATAGCAAACCATATATTTTATACTTAATTATAGAGCAAATAGATATTTCTACCTACTTCTTTAAATATACAGTTATCACAAAATTTTCCTCATTGAATATTGCTAAATATTATTTAACTACACGAGAGACAAAAATATGATATAACAAGATCAAATTAAATATCAACTGGACCACAAAACAACAGTTATGAAGCAGATTTGTATGACAAAATAACGTAATAATTCTAATTTAATACATCACGATTAATATTAACCTTTGGTTTGTATTATTCACAAAACACAACTAACTTAAAACTGTTTGAAAGTAAACTGCAGAAATTAGTACTGAATATAACAAACATTTATCTTGCATGAAGACAAATAATTGTCACATACAAAGGAAGTTTGAACAATAGAACTTCGGCCTTGTTTGGTTTGGAAAATTCAAGCGAGGGTTTCATGTTTGTATAGAAACAGTGTTTCCTCTTTTACTGGCTTTTAAGATTAAAGTAATATTTCTTGAATTATTTGTTGAAAATTAGGCGGTTGTAAAAAAATTAAAATGCACACTTTCTCTCTTTGTTTGAATTACAATAATTGTATATTAACACATTAAATGTAAAATTTAATGGGTTTAGCTTAACCATCTTTTGCGACTCAATTATTGACTTTTTGTTAGGTTAAAAGTTATTGGCAGATACAAATTAAATTTATATATTTAGTTTTCACACACAACTTTATATTAATATTTTATTTCTTTTATATGTTTTTATTTATTTAGTTTTTTCAAAAAACCTCTTCTGTAAATTATCATAACACCAGACAAAAATATGACATTGTTAGACCTGATAAGTTTTATAAGAACCATAGTTACCATCAAATTTTAATGTATAATAAACTACCAACTAACTAATGTTGCCACATAAGAAATTTAACAATGTTATTAGTAAGTGAATTAAAGTTAAGGCATTTTATACCAATTGAGAGTACCTGAGCTGTGACACTCAAGATAGTATCCATTGATTTGTGTTAATAAATTGACAACACCTATTGTATATTGTATATTGTATTTAATGGTGAATAAATTCTTGATTCTTCATTCTTGATTCTTTTCTTTCATCACAAATGCTAAACCTAACTAAAGACTACTAGTGGTGACATGGTCATAGAAATATTTTAGTTAACCCCTGCATTCATTCACTCACTTCCAATCAACTACTACTTTTTAAGAGTATAATTTTTAAGGTAACATAATTTATCTCCTGACCTACATATACCTCCTGAATATTCATATCTTCGTATACATACGATATCGTAATTTCTTTCATAGATTTCCAAAAAACCTCTCGTTCTTATAAATTTGAGTTATATAAGTTATAAGTTATAAGTTTGTGTTGTTAATAAAAGAATAAATAGGAAATTTTTGAGAAATATTCTATAAAAGGTGTAAAAAATGTGCTATATAATTGTATTAGTTTTTTATAACAATCTTACTGGTGTAGTAACTATTGGCTGAGTCAAACATTTTATTTGCTTACGGAAGATTTGTGTTCAAAAATAAATCCCTAGTTGAAGTATTTGGAATGGTGATATCAAAACCCCTTAGAATATATTTTTACAATAATAGACATGTTTAATATTACAAGTAAGAGATTAGTTCAAGATTACTTTAGTAAATACTCGATCTCTTGGGCATCATTACGATATGCAATTAAAACTTGATCTTACGATAGCGGCACAAGTTCCTTCAATTATTGCAGTTCGAACTTCAGTTCATTTTAACTTGTAATTGCACAAAGACCAAGCAGTTGTAAAATACAATTATTAAAGATAAACCTTATTAACTCGATGGGATATGAATTTACTTGTTACAACCTAATAAACTTTAATTAAAACAATGACGTTTCTAGTTTAATGAATTATCTAATTCATTACATTAATAATATAAGTAAATCTAAAATGTTTAAACTAACACCAAAAACATTAGTGTATTATCCACTTTTTAGAAATGTTTGAAAATGGTTTAAATGAGTATGGGAATTTAGTTTAAGTATATTCAATTAGTTTTACTATTCAAATACACGTTAGGTGTAAGGTTTAGGTTCTTAAATAAATAAAAGGTGCAGCGAAAAAGATAGTTTTGAAAAGTTTCATGGCCAGTTATACCAAAAATCCACTGTGTAATCCTAGAACTTGCTTACGAAACTAAGGTTATTTTTTGATTTTTTTCACACACTTAGGTAACGAAATAGTAACTTTTCTTAAGGTATTGGCTTTCGCCAATCACGTCTTTGTACCTAATGTTCTTAGTTCCAAAATATGCTAATACATTCTGCTGAATACCAATATAAGTTTTCAAAAACCCCACAAATCCACGTACAGACATAGCTCGTAGTATAATATGATAGTGAGCGTAAGCACTCTCGTATCAACCTATATCAGTTATGAGTCAAACTTAAATATATGCATCATACGTATGCGAGGTAACGAACCGTATCTGAAAACTGTTATGGTGAGGAATTATGAAGCGTCTGCATTACACTGACTAACATACGGAGTTATGTGACTGAAGATGTATAAAACCCACCAGACTCTAGGTACCACACACACTCGTCTGTAGACATCAGCGGAGATGAAGCGTCTTCTAGTCTTGTTGTTGGTGACTGCTATCTTCGCCGAGGAGAAGAAGATAGAAGAGAAGAAAGAAGAGAAGAAACATGACAAGAGAGGAATAGAAGACTTCAGTGGACATGACTTCAGTGGTGGAGAATTCGGTGGACACGATTTTGGAGATCACAAATTTGGAGATCATGACTTCAGCAACCATCACCATCACGAGGTGAAGACCATAACGATAGAGAAGGAGGTGAAGGTGCCGTACCCAGTCCACGTGGAGAAGAAGGTACCGTACCCTGTCAAGGTGTACGTCGAGAGGCCGGTCCCATACCATGTGGAGAAACCTTACCCTGTGACTGTGGAGAAAAAAGTGCCTTACCCGGTCAAGGAGTACATCCCTAAACTTTACCCTGTCGAGAAGAAGATTCCTTACCCCGTGAAGGTGTCTGTAGTGAGACCGGTGCCCGTGCATATACCCAAGCCTTACCCCGTCTACGTAGAGAAGAAGGTGCCATACCCTGTAGAGAAACACATCCCTTACCCGGTCAAGGTGCATGTCCCCCGGCCTGTCCCCTATCACGTTCCTGTTATCAAACACGTGCCTTACCCCGTTGAGAAGAAAGTTCCTTATCCCGCCAAGGTGCCAGTTGAGAAGCTAGTCCCCTACCCTGTGGAGAAGCCTTACCCCGTCTACGTAGAGACGAAGGTTCCCTACCCGGTGGAGAAGGAGGTGCCGTATCCAGTCAAGGTTCCGGTTCACATCCCGGTCTATGTCCACAAGCATCATGACCACGAGGAACATCACTTCGGAGGACATCACCACTAAGAAGAGAAGCACGGACACGAAATTTTCCACTTTGGAAACCATGAACTATAAATATATTTTTAACATTGTACAATTTGTATATATTTGTTATGTATTTGGAAATAAATTTATAAAAATAAACATTCAACTTACTTAATAATTTTCCAGGTTTTTTAATTTTAAAGGATACATTTTGTTATTTAAATAATATATACAGTATTTTATAAGATAATTTTAAAAAGGCCAAACTCTAGGGCAGAGCCCCAATGGAGTTTCTTTCAAACCCTTCTTATTGTACATCTGCAGTGAGGTGTCCAGTTAAATGTTCACAGAATTAGTGCAAAAAGAGCCATTCGGGTGTTTTGATATTTAAAAAAGAATGTAAAAGTAAACATGCATCGTGAGGTGTTTGCTCGTCCATGCTGCATCATTTCACAATTTGACCTGGTGCATCTAGAATGGTTAGGGTTTATGTTTTGTTTTTTCAGATAAATCTCAATCGCATTAATGATTATTTAACCTTTTTTACTTATCTTCAAACCGTCTTCTATTATTTTTACGACTCTAAAATACGTTACAATTTGGTTACGAACACTGTTGACAATGGTTGACTTTTTTTCTCAAACTGTAAGATTGCATTTCATGTAAATCTAAATCACGAATGACATGGATTAGATATGGGTAAGAAAACTTATTTAAAAATGTTTGTATATTTTCTTTGTTTCGATTAACCTCTATTTTAATGTTTAAATTATATCTGTATCTATTTTATAAAATATATCAAATTGTTTTCTTTTTCTTTCTTTTGAACAAAACCTTAATACTCGTATATTCAAAAGGGTAAGAAGGATTTAATCATAAAACATGTCCTGTTTTATAGCAGTAAATTTATTGGTATGAGGTGTTATTATAACATAAATGGCTAGATAAATAGCTCATAGAAACTTACCTCAAACCCAGTATTCGAACTAGTCCTATCTTAACGACCTAAATTTACATAGCTAAGCTGACTGATACCTATATAAAAGGCTTAAATTTGATATTGAATACCGGTAGTGTAAAAGTTGATAGCAAGTTCAAACAAACTACAATAAGTTCATAATATTACTTTTTTTAAGTGCAAAATAACTAAGATACATAATGTAACATATTAATTTATTTAGCAACTTGCGATAAAAACAAGGTCTACTGATAATGTATAGCTTTACTTAGAAAGATAAAAGAGTTAGTTTAAAACTCGTCAACATTTCAAAAGCAGTTTTTATTAAATGAAAAAGAAGTTATGGGATGATTGTGCTTCCAAGTGGACTGAAGAGAAAAGGTGATAAGAAGAGCCAAGAGGGAAGCTTCTGGAATTATTCCAACATGGAATAACTCCGAGAAACAGACGGTTTATTTGAGCATCCATTGTGGTTTGGGGAAGTAAGGAGGTTACCAATATCTGGAAGTCTTTATTAAAACTTGGCCTCTCGCATCGTTCAGTCTATCTACCTTATAGAGCAGAGGGTTGATCGACTGCTTCATCTGTTGATCAGACGATACAGTTTTTAGGTTACTTTTAATTTAGAACTGTTTGTATTAAGTTAAGATGTTGCTGGGTGAGGAAATCTCTGCTTTAACTACTACACTACAGCCAAGCTATCGTAGGCCTAGAAAATAAAAATAAATTGAAATCAAAATGTTTACACAGATAAGTAAATATATTATTACCTGCAACTGGAGACAGCTTTCTCAACACACACCAACGGGACTTCCACTGTAACAAAGAGAATACATTATTAGGATACTCTCCAGAGACACGACAAATATAAATTGTACGGCATCAAAAATATATTTATTTGACATTGTTGCCAAAGGGGGAATTTTCGTGCCATGAACTGTGGACACGGCGTGGCCAATGTAAAAATATTGGCAATTTATCATTACTTTCGGAATTTTTATGTGTATTTTTTCTTTTATATTTACAATTATCGTAACTAAACAAAGTCTTCAATATGTAAACACTTAATCCAAATATCATTGACACTGAGAATTGGCCAGGATGAAAAACTTATGTAAAACAATGGTGGATATTTGGTAAATTTAAACCTTCACACAATAAATTTGGATATTCATATTACACATTGCAAAGAAATGATACCCAAAACTATTTTCAAGAAGTATCAGACTTGGGTTTTTTAATTTAATGTTATTAAAGGTACGTTTAGGGGGGAATATCCTGCGGTTGGATTGCAGGACCTCGGTTCCCGAGGTCCCAGGCTCTAATCCTCACCAATGGAGTTTATCTAGACCTAGAGGATAATAATGTTATCAATGATCTCGAGTCAGAGCCTAGCGTACCAGGATATGAAAGGGGGCATCATCGGCATAGTCGATAGGGGCCATAAAGGAGGTACATTTAGACTCATATTTGGGTTAAAATACGCACATAGTGCATCCCCAAATAAATAGTAGATAATTGATAATTGATTGATTGATAGTTGGTACATTACAAGTATTATATAGATTTATTTAGTACGCAATTAAAATGTAATTAAGTATAAGATTTGAAAAAATATGTTTAAGAGTTATTTATGTAGCTTTAAACAATAACCATATGAATCCCAACAAACTATTTTTACCACCCAATCATTACTTAACCAAGAACATTTATTTGTGTCTAAAATAAACTTTACTTCAACTGAAACGGAAAAATTGCTTTTAAATTAAAAGCCCTTTGTTATTCTATCAAGAAGCCTGCGGCTGAGCAACGTGAATCAACATCTCTCAGCATCGGAATTTCCAAAGACTATTTCAGATGTCATAATTCTTCTGTTAGTATTCTTATTTTTTGTCAAGTTCCTTATTTTTTCACCATACTTTTTTCTGGCGTTGAGATTTTTATACATATTGATTAAGTCATTAGTTAAAGCAATAAGACATAGTGTTATAGGTGATATATACATGAGTATTTATAAGAACTGAAAAAGCTCAGGTTGTACCTTACTTCATAATCACCATCTAACTTTTGATGATCCATTTTGACTTTTAATAAGTAAATCAACATAATTTAACTAAATAAATAATTAATACCTTTCGGTACATTTCCATTTGCATTATAAAACCAATTGTTGGAACATTTCGAAAACCCAAAACCCATAAAAATGTAGGGTATATTCACATATACTTCCATTAAACTATTTGACTGTACCAATTGTCAATTTTTTATCCAAAGATGTTATTTTCAGAGAGAGAGAGAGAATGAGTAATGTCAATTTTACATGAAGGATGGCTCGGAGATCACTCGAGCATTCTCTGTTGTACAACGTCGTGCTTTGTGTCTATGTTTCTCTGTAGATCTGATATTGCACCGGCTTTGACACATCGAGCAATACAATTCGTCCTTTTTCTACCAATTTATATCTTAAGAAATATTTATTTATATTGACAGTGTATTTCATGATTTCAATTTTTAATAAACTAATGTGACACATGGATAGTTTTAACAAGAGAAGGTGGTTTCATTTTTTCCTGATTATGACATTATTTACGTATTATTTAGAACTTTAATTGATTAAACGCCTCATAAATTATGTTACTCTTATTTTTACACGTATATAAAAATATTATAACTAACTGATTGTATAGTTATAACTGAGTGTGTAGGATATAACTAACCAAGGATGACCAACTATTTGAGTGAGTTATCGTTTATAAATATGAAAGAGTAAAAATGTTGCTTGAATATCCCTATAACTATATATCCAGAAATATCCTAAAACTTTAAAAAATCATTGAAGATTTTCTCAAAATGTAAGATATATTTCAACATTACAGTACAAAAAAACTGATTTGTTTTCTACCACAATACAGAAATAAAAAAGCCTTCAAGTATCCAGCATTCAGTAATCTTTAAAACTATTAATTTGTTTCGCCTCTTCGCCTTCTTATTCTCATAGCTATATTTTATTTACGATTAGATAATTTTTTTAATTTTTTTTATGTATGATTATTTAAACGAATTATTATTTTGCAATATTATCTCTACTTTGTCTTATACAGGGTCTTATAAAGGGTGATCAACTCCATGGGTGAAGTAAGACTCAACTCAAGGAGGCCACCATTGGGATATCGGAAACGGTAAGAATTAGTGATAACTTTGAATGGGGGATATTTATTATTGTTTTGTGGCAGTTAATATATGACTTTAGCTTTTCGAAATTTAGCCGCCATTTTCCAATATGGTAACCAACTTTGAAAATTCTTACGGAACACCCTATATTTTATCATTTTTTCAGATAAAACATGCAGTTTAAAAAAAGTTTTACATTACATTATTTTACATTTTTTTCTAAAAACCCACTCGTTTAGGAGTTACGACTTCCGGTGTACATTGTGTATCATGTAGCTCCTAAACGAATTAGTTTATAGCGAAAATGTGAAAAGTAAAATAAGTCGTAAAATTGCATCCACGTGCAAAAAAAAACCATAAAATATGTAAAAAATATTAATTCTATTATTTCAAAAATGGCGGCCATTTTCTAAAATGGCAGCAAACTTGAAAAGTGGAAAACTGTTATGGTATTTTTGGAACGTAGATGCAATTTTAAGACTCATTTACTCTTCCCATTGTTGCTTTAAATTTACTCGTTTAGGAGCTACATGATGCAAAATGTACAACGTAAGTCATATTTTCATAGGCTGTAACTCCAAAACGAGTGGGTTTATAGAAAAAATGTCAAATATAAACAAGGTTTAAATTGCATTTTCAATCCGATGATATTATATCGGGTGTTCTGTAAGAAATTTCAAAGTTGGCCACCATATTAAAAATGGTGGCTGAATTTCGAAAAACTAAATTCATATTTTTGACTGCAAAAAAACAAAGAAATGTCCCCCACTTTAAGTTGTCTCTAATTCTTACCGTTTCCGATATCCCAATGGTGGTCTCCTTGATTTGATCACCATGTATATTTTCCCAATCTTCGGTGGAAACATTAAGTTCTCCTATAGACGCATAATCGACACTCTACTCCACCGACAGGAATACTTAATATACCCATAGAATATTATACAAATTAAGGAAAAGTTAAGATCATCTAATGTAAAATTACAATGCGTTAGATTCAACTTAATATATGGTTGTATAGTTGTTGAACAAAGTATCAAATATGTTTAAAGTAAAAACTAGTATAGTAAAAGTAACATGCATGAAGTTCTTCTAACGAAATATCTTAAGTATTAAAAAAGTGTAGCAATGAAACTAATCGATTATCTATTATCATGTTGGAACCGTTTTTAAAATAAATTTAATTGAAAACAGAGAAACACTATTAAGTTAATACCACTCTTCATACATTGAAAATGTTTGCAACTGAACTATCTCAATTCCAGTAACAACGCCGCAGGATATTTTATGAAATTACAAAGAGCTTTTAATACAACATCTATCTCTAAACTCAAGGGTAAATTTAAGTTTTACAAATCTGTTATTGGCATTGTTTCCCATAGAAGAACAAATTGTATATCCTTGAGCAAAGAATAACTATAAAAAAATCTAGTGATTACATTGATTGTCTACGTCTAGACAAGTCTAGTGGTTATAGTGCTAACCTTTGAATCAAAGGTTGCTAATTCGACTCAAAACAATTAATCGAATCAATTTATTCTGGAACCACATGACTTCGTCATTTGACTATCAATTAATTGTGCATTCTAAAAAGCTGTAGTAAGTTGGCCAGAATTCAGGTTGTTTAATTTACAAACTCGTAAACAACGTCAATAGTAGATAGACGATAACAGGAATAAAATTAAACAAATAATAACTAAAAGCAAAAGTTAACGTAAAAGTTTTTCTCAAACACTTAATCGAAGAAATCAAGAAAGAAAGGAAGAGTTCCAATTTCATTTTATCGGTACAATAAATATATTTCTTATATAATATTTATTTAAAGGATTTTTAGTAAATAATTTGTGTCCTGTAATTGATTGTTTATCACTACTTCAAGAAATCTAATTGAATGAGAAAAATTCCAATCATATTCATCATATTTCAATCATATATGAAATGTTCTTCAATTTACAACTCAAACAATATTAAATAACAAATCACGGTGTGACATTGACAAGTAATTTAATAGCAAAAGACAGCAATCACTTTAACATTCACGGAATGATTTTTCACATTCTCTCTCCTCGCCGCCTTTTCGATTCATTCGTGTTTGATGTATTGACAAAACAAATTTAATCAAATTGGTTTTCGTTTTATTGTTGAACCGGAGCACATTTCAATGTTTTCACTTGTTGTAAATGTATGGCGCAGAGAATGTTTCTAGGTGCAGTGCTAAGTCAGAAGTCATTTTAATATTTCCTTTTTTCAAGAGTAATAAATATATGAACAACTACAAATAATTTTGATCCAAACCCATCTTACATAACTAAATACCCCAACATTTGAGTAAAACCCCCCAATACAACATTCGAGGTAAATAAAATTTACCAAATACATTGTAATTTTGTTTAGGAATGAAAAAGACATTGACAACTGATTTCCAGCTATAGTATTAAGATATTTTTTTCTTTGTAATTTTGCGACCTAATAAAAAAAAATATTTTATAATAATGCATTTTTTTCCTAGAGAATTGTAAGGGTTAACTAAACTTTAAGTAAATAAACGTGTAAAAAAAAAGTCTTTGTAACTTTGTGTTCATGAAGCTCAGTCATTAATCTTAAAAAAGATTATAGTTTGTCCAATATGATATTAAAATAGTACAAAA